CGCTCATACTGGAGTACCTGGTGGACTCTGATCATGCCTTGGTGCGCTGTCGTTTCTCCATGAACTTTACCGGAAGGCGCACAAAGCGTCTCCCCCGATTGGCAACGGAGAGATTGTCCCAGCCCTCGGTCAGGCAAGCCTATCAAGAAGCACTGAATCGCAAACTCTCGCTGTCTTGTCCTAATGAAACTGAACTTCAGTGGAATAGGATCTCGGCCGCTATCCACGACGCAGGAGCATCTGTTTGTGGCACTATCAGTCGTCACCGCACCAGTCACTGGATATCCGAGAGGCCCGTGAACCAGTTGGAAGCTAGAAGACACCTCCCGGCTGGCTCTGAACACAATGTGACCAGACGGGCTATTAGGCGTGAACTAAAGCAGAGCCTACGTGCTGAAAAGGAAGCCTGGTGGACCAGTCGAGATCAAAAAATGGAGGAGGCAGGAGCAGTAGGTAATCACCGCAAGCTCTTCCAGGTAATCCGCAAAACTGGTCCCAGGAAACCAGGCATCAGTGAGACAGCGCGAGTGCACTGATACACAATAAGGAGCTCCGTATGGCTCGTTGGGCTGAACACTTTGAAGATCAGTTCAGCTGGCCCCTTGCTCCCGGACCTCTTCCTACTCAGATGATGCAGGACGAGCCATGGACGGTTAGTTTAGAGCCTCCGTCGGAGGCCGAGGTCCGAAACGCGATCACAGCCCTCAATCGTTTTCGTGCCGCTGGCCCGGACTCCCTCCCACCTGCACTATTTAAGGATGGAGGTGAGGCCCTCTGCAGGGCACTGACCTCCCTATTCGAACGTATCTGGAACGAAGAGAGTGTGTCGGCTAATTGGGGCGAATCGCTTATAGTGGCAATATACAAAAAGGGCAGTCGCACAGAGTGTTCTAACCACAGGGGTATTAGCCTAACGCTAGTTGTGACACAATTAGTTACCTCGATTATCGTTCGTCGCCTCACTGCAGAACGGGAATCTCGGATTAGGGAAGAGCAGGCCGGTTTTCGCCAAGGACGTGGCTGCATAGACCATATATTTACTTTGAGGCAGGTGCTAGATCAGCGCCACGCATACCGCAGACCGACAATAGCTGTGTTCCTCGATTTCAAGAGTGCGTTAGATTCAGTCAATCGATCGATTCTGTTCGATTTACTTGCGCGAAAAGGTGTTCCCACGAAATATGTGAACATCCTTCGTGCTCTATACTCGAACACTACAGGCCGCGTCAGGGTCTATGGTGCCCTATCGGATAGCTTTTCGACTACAAGTGGCGTTCGGCAGGGTTGTCCGATTTCCCCATTTTTGTTCAATTTCGTCGTGGTTTCTATCATGGAGTGTTCCATTGCGGAATCTCACGATGTAGGTGTTGAAGTGCTGCCTGGTGAAAGGTTAGTTGATCTAGATTATGCAGACGATATCGTCTTGCTTTTCGACGATGTTGGGGCGGCCCAATCAACGCTGAATAGTCTGTCCAGAGTGGTCCCATTATTTGGTATGCACTTCGCACCTTCAAAGTGCAGTGCTGCTGCAGGACCACCAGCCACTTGAAGACCCCTTGACGCTTGCTAACGAGGAACTCGAGGTGGTTGATCAATCCACTTATATTGGCAGCTGAATCAGCAATGATGGGCGCATAGAAACTGACGTCAGCTCACGGATTTAAAAAGCCAGAGCTGCCTTCTTGAACCTGTGACATCTTTGGCGACAGAAAGGAGTTTCCCTCCGTCTGAAAGGCCGTGTATACAAGGCCACAGTGAGGGACGTTCTGCTCTATGGTAGTGAAACTTGGCCCCTTCAGTCTGAAGATCTGAGGCGCCTTCAAGTCTTTGATCATCGTTGTTTGCGAAGCAATGCTGGTGTCGGATGGCACCAGCGCGTCCGCAACGATGATATGCGTAGGCGAGTACTAGGTGGTGATAATCATGCTAGATCCCTAGAACAACTGATGGCACTGCATAGGTTGTTTTGGCTCGGGCACGTGCTACGTATGCCTGGTCACCGCTTACCTAGGAGGGCCTTGTTTAGTCTGCCAGGTGTAGGGTGGCGCAAGGCTCGAGGTGGACAGAAGCTGACTTGGCAGCGGGAAATGAAGTCACTGACGACCAAACTGGGTGCCGTTGGTCCGTCTCGCCTTCTAGGCTGGAGTCCACGTGACTCACCTTGTGCTTGGCTTGAGACTTTACAGGACATGGCTCGCAACCGACACCAGTGGCGCGTCTGCTGCCGTCTCCTAATCGGATTGCCTGTTTAAAGTGTGTTTGGTGCTGAGTTATCTGCGGGGTAATGGCTGATTATGACGCGTGGCAGTGAAAGCCGCAAGGAAGCTGTCTCGCCGATGCCGCCTTATCTTTGCATGATAGCCAGCTGTTTGTGACGGCATGTTGTTTGCACAAGGTGTAGGCGCCTTGACCCTGAATGTCTGCTTAGGGCCTTAAGATTTTCAGGTAAGTCCCCCTTCTCTCCCTCTTATTAATCTTTATTTCATAGGTCTTCATGGTTGCATGGCAGCGAAGCATCAGTTCAAATGGCTGATGTACTGCGGTTGATGATGATGATGATGATGACAATAGCTGAGGTGCTTCTAAGCTCGAGCAAAAGTGCAGAATTATGATGATGAGTCATCAACCATTTAACATGCCACAGGGATGTGCGGACACTGTGTCTGACCTCGGTCGAACTATCAACCCGGTTAGAGTGACTCTCGGGAAGCGCAACGCAACTATCAGCTTGATCTTCCAACAATACTCCGTAAAATTCGTGTTCGTCTCTTGACGCTAGGGGCGATTTGAAACTCCGATATGACGTAGTTTCAGTATGCTCGGTTGTCTCAAAACCGATGGCGATTGCAGCGCCGTGATAATTTTGCGATTTGCAGCCTCAATTTAGACAGTGGCTTATCTTCATAAAATTGTGCTGCTCAACAAAAACGCGCCGGTTACACATTCCGGTAGACAGAATCTAAGTTGTAGGACAAATAAGAATAACATCGGTGCGTTCCACCAGTCTGACATTGGACGCATAGTCTGCATCGAGTTTGACCGCCATTGTTATCCCGTTTGCCACTGAGGTTACGCCACAGGTTGAATCTGGAGGTTTATGGATGGACACAAGGAAAAGGCACCCCGAGGTGGACGACAATGTGATCGGATGTGTCCCCAATATATTCTCCGTGTCAGACTACAAGAAATCCATGTAATGAAGCATCTAGTTGCTCCGGAGGTGTATATAGAGCTTGGCAATCCTGCGCTGCATCCAGGATATTATTCATTGCCGCTGCAACAATGGCTCCAGTTTTCGCATCTATTTGGCAGTGACACAAGCTGACTGTTTTCATTTGGAGAGCTTCTGACATGTTCGGAATTCAATAGTAGACAGTTGCAATGTGATGATTTCAATCACCTGTCACCCTGGTAAACTAATAGGAATCGACCTCGGAGAAGTTGCTGTGATAATCCATAGCTAGCAAAGCATTTGGCACAATTCTCAAAATAGAGTGCAGATGACATACACTAAAAACAACGGTTTTCATTCACTGTCGCTGATCGAAATATTGGTAGGCTGCATATCCAAATAAAACTCGTAGATCTGATCATGCATGCAGAGTAGACAGACAACGGAAAATTTCTTAAAATCTTCATAATCTAAAAGATCCCGGTCACCTTATTGTCGTTACTCCATACAAATTTCTCGGTATTAGCTGGAGTAGAACATTGGAACCTCACATCCTGTTGACAAACTGACTTGACAAAAGAACTATGTGGGCTGTTGTTTGAAGAAATCGTTGGTTGGTGTACCACAGCAATAGTCATACAAAACAATGCATGGTAGACACCCCAGACTCATCGACCGTCAGGTAGCCGTTCTCCAGGCAGCAGCATCATCTGAATGCTGAGAATGGAGCTTGAGAGTGTTTATAAAGTAAGACTTCTACAAAGAGCTTAATTCGTCGGTGCACGTATGCACTTTGGATCTACCTGTTGTCCGTGCAAATGTGCATCAATCAGCTGAACAACAGAAAAGTGTACTTTCATAAAGCTCTGGAATGTGAAAATCAGGGTGGTAGCAAGTTAGACTAGTCAACGTTGTGTGTAAATGGCATGATCCTGTGGTTGAACAGCAACCCGAGCTGTCGGAGGCAATCTCTCCCCGTCACAGCTGTTACACATCAGGCACAAGTGCATGGGACCAGTAAAAATTGCCTCCTTTTCTGTTGCTGAGAAGATTCTTCGCAGCTGGACTCAGCCAGACACCCAATACACATCTAGGAAAGCACTGGACGGCCGTTTTGTCCTATTGGGACTCGTCAGTAGCGTGCACCCGCCGAAACCTACCAGATTTGAACACACGCCTTGCTCTTACGAGCCAGCGAATTATGTCACTGAGCCATGGGTGATGGTGGCGGACCGCCATGACTGATTTCTAACTTCGATAAAAAATGCGGTTCATCCTCCACTGGCATGCAGGTTATGAATGTGCAGAGGACCGGGCTGGCTCCCAGAGCTATGGCTTCCTTTTTAAGTCACCACCAATCGAGGTGGTATGTAGGCTGCTAAGGCAATTACTAATTATTAGTGAATAGTAGGGGATATATTGTGTTTTGGAGCAGATTCATTCACTAATAACTTCCTGTTATGATTTGGAGTGCGCGCCGTGCGTGGTGTGTCACAGGAAGAGGGCGGCAAGTGGTCGATTGAGAGTTGACGCCGCTTCTTAACAGGAATATTTCCTTATATTACAAGTGTTATGGTTGAACAGCCTAAAGGAAGAGATTGGTCATGAAGTCAGGTATCGGGTAGCAAGCTGAGTCTGATTACAAATAATTTCAAAGATATGGGCACCCTGGTTAGTGAACAGCCACTGAGAAATTTAGGTTTTTGATTATCAACCTTTTATCTTCTGTTGAGGTGTGCCGTGTCGTGAGTGAGTGTTGGTTGTACATCGATGGATCGCCAAAGGGAAATAAACATGCATGAATGTAGCAATGGTGAACATGACTCACAAAGAATTCGACAAAAGCCACCTGCCCGTCTGTTAGATTGATCATGTGCTGCATGGATAAAAATCCCCGTTCGTTGATCCGTAAAGAGATGCGTGAGGCCAATGCAAGGGCACGCGCGGTGGCAGGTCGTAAAAGAGAAAGACGATATCGTGCTAAGCGCGGGCTGGTCGAGTTGACTTCGTAGACTTCTACCTGATCCGATGAGCGCGGTAAGTCGAAATGCATTGTGCCTGCCAGGCCGTAGGTAGTCAGGCGCAATCGGGGCTGTGCGGCTGTGGTGGGGAGAAGAGTGAGTTCGAGTACTTCGCTTGACATATCCAACTCGCTGAACGCTTCACGCATGCACTCGGACTATGAGGTAGGAGTGGAACAAAACGATTATAGAATAAGAGGGAAAAAATCGGAAACATTGCCCTTATGTGATAGCATGTGAGTCAGAAGTAGGAGGCTAACGGTAAAGCACCACTAACAAAGAAAAACAAGGGGATATAAAACAATTGATGAATTAGACGGATTGATTAAAACAAAAATTTTGTATGCTAGAATAAGCGGCGAATACGCTAGCTAAAGCCTCGTCAGAGATTTGACCACTCTTGATGTCTGGTGAGCGATTTAATCAAGGTGAACAATCACAAGTATCCACACGCCATCAGTTCAGGACGGTAATTCCTTAAAAGCGTTAGCCGTGAGGCGGTTGCTCCCACATCGATCATAGGTTTCGTTACCACATGACCGTGATTCGCATCTCGTCGAGACGCGTGCTGGTCGCACATTAGAGCACTCATGGTCTTCTCGCTGCCATTTTGTAGCGTGTTACTAGGTTTATACTTATTAGTATTGAGTTGACAAGCACCACCTTGTGATATCAGTCTCGCGATGTTACTGCCAGTACACGATAACTTTACTCAGAACTGTTAATTCCGGGGAGTGCTTCATCCATACATACTCGAAAATAGTTGTGTAATTCCAAATGTCGGAGATAATTTTGGTTCCACTTGATAGAGCACTCCAGCGGCATTCGAACAAGTTCCCACTAGCTGCAGTTCCCCACTGTGTGGAGAAACAACGGGGAAATCTCCGTTTTCCCTGAAACGAACCTTTCTCAGTCCCTCGGCAAGGCTGCTTTGCTATCTAACATCTTGACCGTGGGTGGTCAATAGACCAAGCCACTAAAATATACCATTTCTTAGCCAATTGAATCCATAGCATCTTTAAATTCCTCCTTAAGAAAATCATGTTTCTCCATGGATCTTTCAAGATGGTTTATAACGCTTTCAAGCTGAATCCAGCGAGCAAGAACCCTAAATGCTATGGTCTATTGAGTGACCAAATCCAAATCAAGCAATATCATCCCACTGTGTATTCATCTGTGATAATATCTGGACATTTGAGATTGGTCACTCAACGAAGAGCGCGTAATCTTACGAGTGTTTGCGCCCGTTGGATTCAAATTGAAAGCATTATGGACCATCTTGAAAGACCTAGAGAGGAACATGACTTTCGTAGGGAGGAATTTGAAAGCACTAGGGATTCGACTGGCGGAGAAAAGGCACAGATCTACCACGCCATCGTGTGATTTCAGTACAGACATACAGACGCACCCTCCCAACAAATGTCACGGCCACAACAGAGACGGGAAAGGTGTGAACTTGTTTCAACGTGACAGCTGATCGCTGACTTGACTCGACGTATACGTCCCCGCCTACCCAAGCCTGTACTCATAACTACGCCTCGCAGTTATCAGATCGAGAGAGGTTCGTCACCCAAATTGTACCGCAGACCTGAAAGGTTAGTGAATGAAACTGAACAACCAATCAGTGAGCAGAAACGGAACAGAGGGATTCTATCACACTTCTACTAAATTGTTGGCTGGCTTGCCGTACTACCTCCTCGTGGTACTAGTTGGGTGGATCCGGTTTATCCCGTTCCAGCGGAAAGTTCGGCGGCAGTGTTCCAGGAGGTGGTGGGTTTTCACCTGGCAAGCGTTCTCCCTATACAAAGCCAGAAATGTCCGTTTAACAACACTGTGACATGGCGGATGTAATTCGCCACCCTAAGTAAAGTCACCGCCCCTTGGTATGCTTCAGCAAAGTATTGTAATTCCTCAAATGGAGTCTGAATCTCTGGGTGGACTTGGCCCCAGTTTGGCAGATCGCCGAACAAAAGGCGTATGAACCGTGCAATCGGTCACCGGCTCCCAGTGGACGAGATCTCCTGACTTTGCCCTGTTGCCTTGTGGGTAGGCTATTGAGACAAGGACTCAGGGCAGAGTCCCCTAAGTCAACTCTCTACCTCGGGCTGGGTAACCGGGTAGTATCATGCCCGCTGAGAAAAAGCACGGATGTACCTTCCTTTCACACTTCCGATACTACTGCTTTTGTCGCTCGCCAACTTCCATCACATGACGACACTACATTTATCGTCAAACCCACCTACGTTGATTCTGCCCCGATTCCGGTTTTGCTGACACCCGAGAAGTTTAATAGACAGCCATACTACAACTTCGATCGATGTTCCGATTGGCCTGCTTCAACGTATGAACACCTATGCAGACTGGTCAACAGGCCGGCTTGGCGCGTACCCTGGAGTCTCCTGCTATTGACGTTTGCTGCGTTTCCAAAACCCGGTTGCAGAATTCCAGCAGCGTACTTAGGATGACGTCCCCAGTTGATCGCGGAACCATGTGCCAAATGTGTCTAGCAACTGACGCAAAAGCAGCTACAGCAGATCTAGCTGACGGTGCGGTAGCACTAAGAAAGAAGCTGCATTGCTAGACTGGTTAGCAGTTTACAGTCGGATTTGCGCAGTTCGGCTTCAGGGATCATATCGTATCAACAGACATCGCAAACACGCAACTGCAGCAGCCACTTTGCCAAGGACGATTTTTACCGCGAACTTCACCTTCTTTGGAGTAAAGTGGACAAGTTAATTGTTGTTGCACTTACTGGTGATTTTAATGCACGGATCAGTCGCCTGCTTCTATATGAATGCCGCCTTGGATGTCAGCACGCGCTTAACGAGGGACGCACAGATAATGGAGACCGACTACTCACATTATGCGAGAACAACTGCCTGTTTCTTTCCAGCACCAATAACAAGAGAAGTTCCGCAACCTGGCACTCTCCGTCGTCAACATAATTCTAGTCCCAGATCGACCACGTCGCAATCAGTTTTGGTTGGCGAGATAGTATACAAGACTGCAGGTCATTCTGGTCAACTTACCTTGACTCAGATCACGCGCAAGTTTGTGCGAACATCTGCATGCACTTCGGTAGGTTCCGGAAACATCTGCGCCGTAAGAAGGACACAAATAGGTTAGTTGACCTACTGAGCTATCAAGATGCATTATCGGATGATCTCAACTGTAGTCCACCTCAGGACGTTGAGCAACATTGGGCTCACTCGCAGGTAGCGATGCTACCTTTTGGTCAATCGCTTTGAGGTCTCACAAAACACCCTTTGAAGAGTTGGATCTCCGCTCGCTCGCTAGAACTGTTCGGCCGCCGTGAAATGTTCCACCAGAGTCGGCTCATAATCCTATGCGTCAGACTCTCAATCGGCAACTCAAACAAAACTTGCGTAATGACCGCCGAAACTGGTGGTTTCAGCGCGCCTCGGAGATGGAGACCGCTGCTCTCTCCGGCAATTTCCGCAAGCTCTTCTAGCTCATTAGATTCACTGGTCCTAGAAGCGGATGAAGCTATCTATGAAGCGGATAGGTCACAAATAATTAACCTAGGAAGACGCGTAGAGCGTTGGGTTGAACATTTTTACTCCCAATTCAATCATCATCATCATCATCATTACACGTTAGCTGGAGGTGGAAAACACCTCAGCTATTGTGCCGCAATACAAAAGGCAAGAAAAGAAAAAACAAACAAACAGTGGCACGCCCGCTGAGTCCCCAGTAACGGATGGACATCGTTCCGGAGAGCTAACAGCTGGCTGCCGTAAAAGAAAGTCATATTATGCCTAACGATTGAGATCGTGATTGGAGGGGGATGCTAAACAGGAGGGGGATGGACAAAGGAACTCACAACACAAACGCCATTGGGGCCGGCTCCTAGCCATATCAGCAAGTGTGTCCAGCCAAACGTGTTCACCGTCCTTAGGACCCCAGCCAGGCAGTCGGGATGCACCAACCGACGCCAACTTCGAAGTGAGGGTTTTCATTTCTCGCGACCAAGTCATCACTTGGCCTCCCCTCCTCCTCTTCCAACCGCACCCACAACGCGCAAACAATGCACGTCGTGGGAGTCGGTGTGCTGGCATGCGCAAGACGTGGCCCAGCCAGCGGAGCCTGGTGCGTGATATAATCGTGCTGAGCGGTTCACTCGCTCCTCCTGCACCAAATACGCGACGTCGAACACGCTCATTGCTCACGCGGTGTTCCCACCAGACATGAGCTAAGCTGCGAAGGCAGCGATGATCGAACGTGACGAGTCTCTTCATGTCTGTCGACCTGATGGGCCAGGTTTCACAGCCATATAGGAGAGTTGAACGGACGGCTGCGTTGTAAACTCTGCCCTTGAGGGCGAGAGTAATGTCGCGTCTGCGCCACAGGTGGTGGAGATTGGCAAAAGCACCTCGAGCTTTTGCTATACGGTTTGTAACCTCATCTTCAATCCCACGGGTGCTAATATAGCTGCCCAGGTACTTGAATTCCTGAACGACTTCTAGCAGATCACCACCAAGCGTTAGCGCAGGGCTGGGTCCCTGCCAATCTTGGAGAAGTACTTTGCATTTTGATGGAGCAAAGCATAGCCCAAAACGACTGACAGCCAGTGCTAATCGGTTCAGTGCTGTTTGGCATGTTTGCGAGCTGTCACAGATTAGGGCAATATCGTCTGCATACTCCAAGTCAAGAAGTCGCTCACCAGGGAGTAGCTCCACACCTTCTAGGTCGTGTCCAGCGAACGCTGTTTCCATGACTTCATCAATAGCGAAGTTGAAGAGGAAAGGTGACAGCGGGCATCCTTGTCTCACACCGCTGGTGATACTGAAGGGTGGCGAGAGTTTGCCATAAACCCTCACCCTGCCCGAACTATGTGCGTACAGCGCTTTGATAATGTTTACATATTTATCAGGCACACCTTTCCTCAACAGACAGTCCCAAAGGGCACATCGATCGACTGAGTCGAAGGCACCTTTTATGTCAAGAAACACGACAACGGTGGGTCGCCAATAAACATGGCGGTGCTCCAACACTTGACGCAGTGTGAAGATGTGGTCGATGCAGCCCCGACCTCGACGAAATCCGGCTTGCTCTTCACGAATTTGGCTTTCACGAGTGCCAGTCAGTCTGTGGAGAATGAGAGAGGCAAGCAATTTAGAGGCAATCGAAATCAGAC